CTATAGAACCTACCTTTTAACATCTGTTTTTTTTTGGCTCTTCGCTCGATCTGACCTTTCCAGGCCGATTGTCTCATATCCATTTCCTTGGGATCATTGAACGTCCCGAGATCCCCAGCCGGTGGAGTAGAACTTCTTGATCTCATCGGGGTCTGTCATGTTGAAGATCGGCCCTGTGCCTGTGCGGTGCGGAAGGCGCCAGCTTTGACCGGGTTCGCCGCGGTGCCCGGGTGGCGCACGTGAGAGGTCTTGGGCGACCGTTACAGAGAGGACACCACTGAGCTGGGGTACCCTATGGAATAGTCGAATGAGGGTTCTTCAACCTGTGTTGATTGCTTTTAGCCGGGCACCCAATCAAGAGCTCCGTGGTTGTTCAGGGCTGTTGAGGGCTCTCTTAACAGTGAAACAACACCGTTCCGCAAGGTCTTTGCTTGTGGAACATCCACATGGAACCTGCTCTTCCTGCGCAATCGGAACATGCACCTTGCCGCCCCAAGGAGGCTGATTTGGTTTGGGGATTTGTTCTTGGATCCGCATGGGTGTAACAACCGTTCGGCGGCACCTCGTACCACCCATACTCGCGCACCCACCGTAACCGGCTTGCTATGTCTGCCTGTAGAATCTGTAGAAGAATGCTTGCCGAATGTGGTCTTCAGTTTCCAGTCGATCTGTGCATAAGGCAATCATGCCCAAACACTGCATATATTACATATGTATGCCATATTTGCCTACATTGGAAGGGTTTCAGGGGTCAATGTAGGCAAATATGCCAGTCCCATGGAGCGTCTGGGATATGTGTTCCATTCCGCATCTGCACCTGCTTCTTCCAAAGAGCTGAAGGCCGATTTCGTCTTGGCCTGCCAAGAATCCAGGAGGAGCGTCTTCGACGCATGCGTCCTGGTCGCCTCAAACCCAAATGGTTGGACCCGTCTTCGACCACAAATGGATAGACGAACCTGGATATCCACCACCTAGGTTCCCCCCCTATATCCATTTCTCCTGGGAGGGGTGATTCCCTAAGTGGGCACCTCTTACCTCACGGCACCTCTTATCGCTCCGAATGAATCCCGAATCCGTACGCGACACCTCTTACGCAGAATTTCTTCGCAGTATTGAAGCTATAGCCATTGCAAGTCGGAGCTCAGCATTCTTGTTACGAAGAAGCTTCAAGTCGACATACCTAAACAGCTTCCTCTACAGGTGAAACGACTCTACAGGTGAAACGATTCCCAAGGACATGATTGACCCAGCATAACTTGTAGATACTTGTATAGCATCCTAAAGCCATCAACCCCCCCCGCGCCCAACGCCGATCCCACCTTCTTTCCGACCTTAGTGAATTCATGACATCGGCGTCCAGACATGTCCACCCAGCAGAACCCAACTCGAACCCAGCAGAAGCATCAGAAACCGAGCGAAGCCTCCCGACGTGCGAAGCGCGCCGCGCGTCCTGCTCACCGAGAGGCGAAGTGCAAGGCTCCTTTCCTGCGAAGTGCCAAGGCTTTGGGTGAGCAAACATGGTTTTAGGGTTTTAGGGTTTTTGGGCCCAAAAACTCACAAAGGGTACAAGACCCGGGAGCTTTGCTTCACAGCGCCGGACCTGAACCGCCCAGCTCTCCCTGCGAAGGCCAACTTGTGCAGATCTGCTGGTAGCCTTGTGTCAAACAGCTCGCTGACATTCCCCCATCATGCACATTCCTTTGCGAAGCACAAGCTGCAGGATCCCAATCCCTCCCTCCCTACAACGAGCGACACGCCAACAACCACATGAAATAACGACACCTAAATGGAACAGTCCATAGATCACTTCCAGAACGTCTTCCCAAGCTCCGCCATCCTCCCACCATTCCCAGGCTCAGTCGCCCGCCCCCGGCCCCGTCCTGGACGAGAAAGGACTGTAGAGCATCACCACATCACCCGCCGTCGTGCTGACCTCGCATAGCTTCAGACTCCAGCGAGGTTCTCTGCGGTGGGTGGGGCCCTCGTGCGACGGATCCTACAGGTCCTACGGATCCTACGGATTCGACTGTTGGTGGTCCTTCTCCAAGCGGCCAGGATCTGATTGAGGTCCTTGGGCCATGCCAAGCGCAGCACTGACCTCGGAGCGCGTCCGAAGATCATCCCATGGATGCTGAAATGATCGATGCTTCAGGAGTGTTGTCCTCTCCTGCTTGGGGCTGAAGTTGCCTTCTTCGTGATGCATGGTAAGATGTAACAAGCATCTTCACAGATTCGATGTGGATCATGAAGCAAAACCTGGAAAACCCAAACAACCAGAAACAAACTCCTGGACGTTATGGCTTGCTTAAGCTCCTTTCCATCGCAAGCGGCTGGGACTGACTGTTGTCGCGCTGAGTCCCCGGCTTCTTGCCGAAGTCCAGGCTCTTCGTCAAGGACAAGGTCTTCGTGTCGTAGACCCGCAGGGTGGCGGCACCTGTTCCGACCCAACGCAGCCGTCCAACGACGCCGTTTCAGTCGTCAAGCGACGCGGAGTTCACGATGCGTTGGACCGGAAGAACCCCTTCAGTGTCACCCAGACACCCCAAAAAATCCACATACCTTCTCAGGTTCGGTACGACTGGGCCCTCCTGGTGCCTACATCAGAATAGTCTCCGTCCTCGTACCTGAGGTTCGGTACGACTGGATCCCTAAGAAAGAAACACGAAACCGAAAACCTCCCAACGTCGAACCAACTCCAGCGCCGCAAAATTCCCACGAGCCGCGTTGACACCTCCCAGGTTAGCTTCAACCGGTCCTCCTGCCATACGAGAGAATTGGTCCTCTCCCTGTCGACGAGTCTGCGCCTAGTGCATTCTTGGACAGTGAGGTGCCAGTGACGATGTAGCGCCCATCAGGCGACCTGCGAAATCACCACGGCCGCACGGCTTTCAACGGGCCAGTGGGATCGGCCATCGGAGGCCAGACACCCCGTACGCCGCCCGCCCAACTGGCGGGCTGGTCGTTCGGTCAGATCTTTCTGGTCGTCTTTGTGATTCTGTTCGATTTTTGGTGCAAACCCGCCAAACTCCTCATGATGACCTGCAGCGCCCAAACGGATCCATGTGGCGCCACAAAAACAACACACGACATGTTGGCGCCATGCATCTTTTATCATCTTTTTCTGCCATGCCACACGATCCAAACGTGGGATTTGGAAGTCGCTGAACACAGGACCCAGCTGCAACACATCGCCGTACGTCTCACAGCACTGCCCACACACACACACACCCCTCTCAACGCACGTCTCACGTCTTCCCGTCTTCACGTCCTCACGTCACACCCCTCAGCGCACGTGCACACGCCCGTCTTCTCGTGGGCTGTGCGAAGGTCATCGAAGACCTGCAGAGTCGTGTGCCGTGGAAGGAAAACACCATCGACGTTCCTTGAAACTGGTCGCTGCGAGTCTTATCAATGATTGCCGCAGCATCAGTGTCGCCGATACATCATCACTCTTCAATTGCTTCCCTTCCGAAGTGGAACAAAGACCCACACGGCAAAAAACAAACCCACGCGATGGAAATTCTAGGTCGACCCACACTGCAAATCGAACCCACGCTATGGAATTCTAAAAACACCTGCACATACACTCCCGAAAACTAACATAGACCCTGACAATCGTCGCATGGAAGACGATTTTCCTCTACCAACCAGGGGTTTTCAGGTTCCATGGGGTAGTCTTCCAGAGTGTAAACCAACCAACATGGAATCCTGTGAAGCCATTCCAGCACCAGCGCAGGGTGAGACTCGGAAGTCGGTGACGAACAATGCTTCGCGCAAGACGGTCAGCATGGTTGGCACGTCCGGGGTGTTTCAACGGTACGTCGTTTTAATTGATACCTGGAGCTTCAAAGGGGTGCTCAATGGAGATCCCTACACTACTCCTAAGTAGTGTAGGGGAGTCTATTGGAGACCCGTTTGAAGATGCTGGTATCAGCACTGTTCAACATGCTTCACGATGATTTTTATCTCCAGTCGATGCACTCCAACTCACTGTAGCTCCTTGGAAGACGATCTTTCCCCTGTCAGCACATACTTATACTACGTACTTCCAATGTCAGTGAAGCAGAATCTAGACCCTACAACTGAATATGTCTGATTTGGTTTCCAAAGCCTTATAAGACAGCAACAAGACTCAACAAGCTTGCCATCGACCGAAGAAAACCACCAAAAGACTGAGTCGAGCTCCTCGCCTGTGACAGCCCTTACTCCGCGAGCAGCGTTCAGCAGCGCGCGACATCCGCGAGCACCACGCCTTCACTGGACCCTTGGCATCGGACATCATGCGGCAGTCCCAGATCTGGCGGAGAGTGGAATGGCAGATCTGGACCTATCCGGGGATGATGGGGGATGTTGAACATTTTGAATGGATTGGATTTGTTGAGCTGATTTTGAGTGGTGTTTTCCCAAAAAGGACGCTGTTCTCTTTGGGGGCTTGCAGATGTGAAGATCAGACACGCAGGAGACAAAGACCTCGGCCAAACCATGGCAACTCCTGAACTTCCTTCCTTCCGATCTGCGGCCCCAGCATGCACCATGCTACTTCTGAGATGAATGGGTGCTGGCCACAGTGACTGCTCGAAATCATCAACACGCCCGCCGGTCCTTCATGCTGTTGTCTAGGGAGCCTCAGGTGCGTTTCCGGAAAACCCAGCCTAGTCCCAACCCAGCTTGGAAGTGTAATCTCACAGGACACATCTGTCAAATTCTTTCAACTGCTTACTGTAGTGGATTGAGAGGACCTATGGCACAAACCCCAAATGTCGGTCGTTTAGATAGACCCCCATCTGTCTAGGACATCACGGGGTCTGTGCCATCGAGCCTCTGAAACCACTGTAAGTCCGAAGTCCACCAAGTAGGACTTCAGGCTTCGAGGTTTCGTTTTCTGCCTGAGCATGCCTGAGCACAATGGGCCTGACACCTGCAATGCCTTGTGCTTCTGGGTCAGGCACGGGTGATCAGCATGTTGCACTCCACACCTTCTGGCACGAAGCCCACATCGGTCACGGCGTCACTGTGCGCCGACCGCAAGATCCTGCCAGGCGGCTGGCGGCACAGTCCGGTGGGCTGATCTTCATTAGTTCAGCCCTGAACTACTGGTTGGCATTCAAAACAACATGCTTTACTATAGGGCTGCCGTGGGTTGATCGTGATCTAAACATCATGCATTTTCCTTCGCAGGAAATGCATGAAACAGCCTTCACAGCTAGACTCAAGCACATGGGTACAAAGCCCGTAGACCTGAAAAAAATAGCTCTCCAGCCCATCCGCTGCTAAGCAAGGTACCACACCTCAGCTGCTTCCTGGGGCAAGCTGAGATTTAAAGAAACAACCACAAACATGGACCAAACAGCGGGGCATGCAGCACACTGACTAGGTGTTTCCTCCTCCTCCTCCTCCTCTTCTTCTTCTTCTTCTCATTCCAAACGACAAGAACCTCCTTCTCCTTCTCCTTCTCCACCGACCATTGGACCCGACAGCACGCTTTGCCCCACTGTCCCGGCGTCCCGAAGCACGCGTTGCCCCCGCGCGTTTTGGATCACCCGCCGGGTACGCTTCACTAGGTCGACCAGTCGAGTCTGCACCCCTGGCGCGGTTGACCAGCCGCGGGACGTTGACCAGGCCGGGGGAAGAAACAACAGTTACACTCCCTGGAACTAACATGGAAGTGGACGTTCTGGCCTCTTGGAAGACCCCTTTCCTCTACAAACAGGGTGTTTTCCACTTCCATGTTAGTTCCAGGGGGAGTAGTTCCACAAAAGCACCAAAAGCGACTATCCGATTGTCTCAAGATCGGAGAACCATAGAATCTACATCAGCTAAACATTAGATGTAGAATCTTGAGTATGCCCACTGGACTGCCCACTGGTACTACGCGCTTCGTCGATATGATGAGGAGTGGGGATACTATACACTTGATGTGGAATCTTACTTTTGATTCATCAACCATCACCAGCAGGGGAAGAGGGCCGGGTGTGGATCCACGATCACCATGAGGTGTGGAACAACCACGACCACCTACGTGGTCTATTTCATGCTACTGACGAAAAGAAACGCGAGCTGGTCCAGCGGTTCAAGCTCACCTTTTTCTTCTTGGATTGGGCCTCAAATGTCTCAAACCATCGGACGGTGTAGGAAAACTGAAATGCCAAGCGTGCATCCTTCATTCCATGACATTACCTTACCAAATATCCACATACCTCCTTCGAGGCCGTTCGTGTTGTCTCATGCCACAGGCTTGGACCTTCCATGGCATACGGTCACTTGGAGTCAGTGGTTGATGTCACAAGCACAAAGTGGCACATACAACTGATCCCCAAGATCCCCACAGAGGGACGGCTCATAGGGATCCCCAAGATCACATACAACTGACAGCCCCACATACAAGATGTTTGAGACATTTTGTTACCTTTTGAGTTGTGAGTTTAGATGTAGCCAAGAGGACTGGTTTAAAAATTTATTTTTTTAATGATTTTTTTTTATGTTTTCAATATGTTTCTATTTATGTTTTTACAAAGTGGTGTTTTTTGGTTTATGATATTTTTATGATTTTTTTAATGTTCTCTTTTATGTTTTATTTTATGTTTTTAATATGTTTTGTTGAAGTGCCTTTTTCATGTCTTCCCTTTAGCGTTTGTGTTTTTCTTGCTATCTTTTGGCAAATTCACCAATCGTTTTTGGCCTGTGGTTGAAGGTCCGTTCAAGGTTCATTGGTTTGCGAGCCAAATAAATATCAAGTATGTAGAAGGCCTGCAAAGTTTCATGTCCGTGATGTGATTGATAAGGGCTAGTGTAGCTCAGGACTCGCGAGGGCCAAAGATTGAAAAAACGGAGACGCTAACAATTAACGACTGAACTGATAGGATTCTAAATCTCAGACGTGCAAAGTGTCACGTGGCCTTGGGCCAAGGGCAAGGTTTCGCGGCGTTACTTGCAGCTACGTTGGTATAAGCCACCAGGCATTTAGCAAATAGAAGCAAGGGAATATCAATGGCAAGTTCTATGCTGGAGACACGGTGCAAAAAACCAAGCAGTGCGCAAGGTTTAAAGTGTTTGACGCCTTTAAGCCTTTAAGTAAGAAGGCTTCAGTTTATGCTGATTCCCTCAAGCCTGTGAAGGCTGTGCCGTACTCAGGGCCACAGGGAAGGAAAGGAACAGGACTTAGCGTTTGCTCCCCTGGCTAGCTCTAGGTGACCTCCCACCTGCCTGGGACTTCGGACGCGCCAGCTCTCCAGGGGCCACTGCGCAACCTGCAGACCTAGCCGCCGCCTTCCCAGCCACCGCGCTGCGTCCTACCCCAGCCGCGGAGGCGCGCCGCACGGAATCATTAAAAAAACATAAAAAAATCATAAAAAACATAAAAAAATCATAAAAAAATCATAAAAAATCATATCAAAAACATAAAAAAATCATTTTAAAAAAAATCTCCGAACCAGGCACATTTTTCAAAATTTTTATGATTTATTTATGATTTTTTTATGTTTTCAATATGTTTC